GTGATAGAACATCGGATAGGCCCATCCGATACAAATATCTTGGCAGTGAAGCAGGTAAAGAGCATCCTGGCTTGTAAAAGTTGGATCAGAGTGGAGTGTTACTAGTGCCTAACTGTAACTCTGATCTCTGAAATGTAATATCAAGTCCCAGACCCAGTCCTCCAAATCCTCATCCTTGAGGTCAATTAGCTGTAGTCAGTACTTGGGGAATCCACAGTACTACCAGCACCAGTTATTTGAAAGGGGTCTCCAGTCCCTTGTCTCTCTCAACCTTGCTCTGTTAAGTACCTTTCTAGGAACTACCTCTAACATCAAGGCAGCCAAGTAAAGGCTTTACCTGGAAGGACTAAGTCCTTGACTCTTCCTTCCCAGATTTTCCAGCCAGGAGGTAGCCATACAGTAGCCACCTCCTGACAGACTCCATCCATCCGATTCATTCCATTTTGAGATATTTAGAAACATTAACAAAATTTGGCCACTTAAATTGTAAGAGTATGATGTACAAGGTAAAACATAAGAATAAAAACAGACGTACTCCATGCCAATTAATAGAGATTGCTGCTGTCAATCGATTTGTTATGTTGATATACAACATGTCCCTGACCCCCCCCCCAAAGAAAGAGTGAGGCACGCATCATCAAAGACCGGCGGAGGCGATTGTTGAGATCGAGTAATTTGAATCCTTCACCCTTCCTGTAAAACAACTGTCGTGTGTTAGGACAGGGAACAAGTTTTGGGACATAGTCACAGGAAACACGTACATTGGCCTCGATCAGTGGTCCCGGGAATTGCTTGTTGATGACGAGTACTCTCCTGTGTTCAGGGAGAGAAAGAGGATTTGAATCAGAAGCCAATCGGTACTTTAATTTTTTTATTGTAAAAATCAATAAAACGAAAGCTTCTCGGACTGAAGAGAAGGGAGTCTGGTAAGTGAGCTGAGGGAACTACAACCTCAGATAGAGATGACCTTAATGGAGAGTAGACCTGCTCGTAATGAAAGGTAGGAAAACGGTGAAGAAAACAGAAAGAGAAAAGAATACAACGATGAGGATCTTTCTTATATACTCGTTTTTCTACTTCACTACATAGCCTGACGTCATACTTCTCTCACTCTCAAAAAAACATCTATTCCTCTTAAAAGGTCATCTTCTCCATCTACTCTCACAAGAACGTCTCCTCCTCTTCCTATCAAAAGACCCTATAGGTTATCATCTAGAGAAGTATTTTTCAATTAAATCTTTCGAGAGAAAAAATGTGTCTTACCGAGTAAATCCATCTGGTGCCGCAGTTTCATTCCTGGTATTACATCCGAATCATTAGACATATGCGCGTTGAAAAAGGTATCACACAATTAGGGACTTGGGGGAGTTGCCTACGTCAGAATCCAGG